TTGTTTCTCACACTGACTATGTGAAGTCAGGGGAATTACACAATTTTTAAAAGTGTGAAGGGGCAGATCAAATTTTAGTCCTCCAAGATAAGGTGGCCCTGGCCTGGTCTTTTCTACCCTTGCAGTCAAAAAATATTCCAGGGAGTGGGCAGAGGTCAGCTTCATGACAAACCAAGGCCAGGCCAGGGGGAGCTTTTGCCATGGAAAGTAGGCGTGTGCCTGCATCAAATGTAAGCTCAAGCCAATTCTGCCTTTGGGTTGACACCACTGAAGTAATTGTCCTGAAAGACCTTGTATGTATGGATATAGTTGTGCATTATGGATGAGATATTATTATTAGCATTGTGATTAAAATGGAAGCATTGATCTCTGGCATCCTGAACGCAGAGCTCACCGAAGGATTTTCAAGGCTTGAATGAATGAGGCCAGATGACAGAGCCCTGCCCACAGTGAGGCCCTGTGCCTGTCAGGATATGGCCACCAGGGGGCAGCATAAAGGATGTACAGTTAAGTGGGACATCCCCCAGAAAATCTGCCTCAGCCCTGGTCCAGCTGATGGGCAGCTGGGAATGGCCTTTGGGGGTGACTGATGCCACTCCCTATTTGAAACTGCCAATGGCCCTGGTGGACACCAAAGTTCATACATGGCACCTTGTGACTGCTCTTCTCTGTCCCCTTTTTCTCTCTGACCATACAGACTGTTTTGAGATTCCTCACTTCTATGTTCTTGCCTATGGCCTTTGCATTTGCTGTGACACCCTCTTTCTGCCTCCATCCCACCTTTGCAGTGAAACCTTCTCTGACCACTATTGACCCCCAGACAAGGTCCTGACTTGTCTTCAAAGCACTTCAGAGCACTTATCTCAGCTTGCATGAGTACATGACAGACCTCTGTGTCTATTAGAATGGCCTTCCATCTGGGCTGGATGCTGCTTTAACCATCTTGAGACCTTAGCTCTCCCACTTAACAGTCCCCTGAAAACAGTTTCCTGAAAACCATGCATGGAAATAGACCAGCCTCATGGGCTGTTGTGAGGATGAAACAGGCAGAGAGGTTGGGCATGGTGACACACACCTGTAATGCCAGTACTTGGGAGGCAAAAGTAGTAAGATCACAAGTTCCAGGCCAGCCAGGACTACATAGCAAGGTCCTGTCTCAAAAGACCTAGGTTGGGGGCATAACTCTGCAGAGTACTTGCTTAGCATGTGCAAGGTCCTTGATTTGATTCCTAGCACTGCAAAAAGAGAAAGGAAAAAAAAAACACAGGAGATTGCCCAGTGTCTGGTACAAGGCAAGTGTTCGGAAATGTCACGTTTGTTTGTCTCAGCTGTCAAGATAAACAATCCCAGTCACTAGTACCTGAAGGAAGTTCTCCTGGAGCAGAAAACTTTATCTGTTCTTTACTGGCTCTAGGTTTCCACCCCCTGTCTGAACACTGGATAATAAACTCCTGTAGACATGGGGTTAGTTTACCGTGTGGGTTCTGTCTGAATCATCCTGATGTTGGGTGCTTGCTACTGTGCCAAGTACCAGGCTGCCGTGTGAGCGCACCTCACCCTCCCAGTGGTGCTTCACAGTTTTAGGTTACATTTGCCTCCAAGACGGGGCTCAATGGATTCAGACTCAGGTGCTTCTTACTGTGTAGCTCTATCTTTCCATTCCACTGCTCAGCCATGCCCCTCAGGTTTTTCTTGTAATCCAGATCATAGGAACAGAAAAGGCTTGAATTCAAAGAAGCCTTTTCACAGCTGCTTGCAGAGCCTTGCTTTGATTTGAGCAGTAAGACCAGTGCCTCAATCCTGCAGGAGAGGGGGATGAAGCCAGTGTTGCTTCATCAGTGGGCTGTTCCATGTCTTTCAAATGCCAAAAATGAGAGGGGAGCATCGGACAGGGCACTGCTACAGGCAGAAGGTTCAGTGTCTCTTCCAGGAATTCTAAGGTTTTAACTTTAGGATTAACCAGAAATGTGGGCCAAAGTTTATTGTGTAAAGACTTTTTTCACCACACATTATCTTCATGCCGAGAAATGAAGAACAAAGCCATTACTCTCAGGATTGAGTCTAAAAGTGCACGTTGGGCACATTCATACAGCAGGCCAAGGAGTCTTTCAGTTATGTCACAGAATAAATAGTTCATGACAGAGGAAGAGGCTCATGATACATTAAATAAAAAATAAAGGACACAAATGAACAGTACTTATCTCTGGGAGATGTGATTATGGGGAGGTTTTATCTTCCTTTTTATATCCCTCTTGGTATCTTCTACTGTTTTTGCAACAAGTGGTATCACGTAATCAGAGGGTTTACACTGCATGTTCCACAAGTGTTAAGGCACCTGGTGGACACTAAGAGGCCAGGGCTGGCCTGAGCATCGTGCCTTCTTAGCCCAGTTACTTTTCCCAGCCATGCCATCCGGCCCTTCACCATGGCTTTCCTGGCTGGTGTCAGTCAGAGCTTATTACCTGCCCCTCCACGTGAGGGCTCCTGCAGACACCTGCTCCTCATTGACGATTTAGTGGCGTGATTGCCCCAGTCCTGCCCTATCCTGTCTTGCACTTGAGGGAGACAACTGAATTCAAGAATGACGGCGCTTGTAATCTAGTGGACTATTCCAAGGAGAAAAGGTGGATGCTTGTGAATGTCTCCTGGCCTCTTCAGTTGCCAAACTCTGTGGATGGTCACCATGTTTTCTGCCTATCCCCTTACCCACCAAAGGACTGTCTTCAGGTGTGTCATCTCTTCCTCCAGCAGTTTTAAACTGAGTCCAGGAACCAGGACAACCTCGGGGCCCGGTAGGGCATAGGAAGGAGGGGTGGGGGGCTGCATTGTAACTTAAGTGCTGCTAGTCTGTGTATGCTACTTGCAGACATGTTGAACTTTCTGGAAGCCTGAATTATAAAAACAGGAAGTCATGGAGTTTGCCTTTAGTAATAAAAAGGCATGTTGCCTTTGGCCGTACTCATAGAACTATCCTCACTCAGCAGCCAGTGTGACGTCTCCAAACCACAGCCTCCATCCCATAATGCCTCTCTGCCTGTGGGCAAAGTCTTGTGTCTCACCTTGGCCATCAAGGTCTCTCCAGCCTCTTTCTCCCCCACGTCTCCTCCCTCTGGATTTCCAGTGGTGTGGGCTGTGCTCTCCCACCTCTGGCCTCTAGGTCATCTATCTTCTCATGCTTTCTTCTACTGCTTTCCTACCTTGTCAGGGCCCAAGCCCAGGCCCCCTCTCCACAGGAGGCTGCCCTCTGCCTGGGCCAGTGCTTCTTGAAGTGTTTCTTACCACAGCCTGCTCTCTACATGCCCGTAAGAAGTCTGACCGTCTTCCCTCATCAGCTCCCCAATGTACTAGACTGTGTCTGTCTTGGTGACCGGACACTGTCTGGTAGAGTGTGTGGTGTGTAGTAGACATTTAATTGTTAATCTAATGGAAAGAAAACTGACAAGGCTGAAAGTGTGGGCCTGAGGCCCCTGCTGAGCTCTGGGTAAGTGAGGGAGTTAATGCTTAATAAACTTAATCAATCACTTAATGAACATGGCTGGTTGGAGCAGGGCTCTCCTGCCCTTGGAAATGGAGTATCGGGGAGAGTGTGTGTTCCCTGAACAGGAAACAGAGGAGGCTCCAGGGCTCTGGTCAAGGACTTCCCCCACCTCCCCCGAAACCATAGTGGAATGAATTTGCAGCTGTTGGAAAGAAAGTTAAGTTTACTCAAGGTGCTCCAAAAGGCTGCAGGCCAGGAAGATGCCACCCAGCACGTGGAGGCTGAGTACTTCCAGCAGGCAGAGGTCGCTGGGAGGAAGGTCCCAGTTGGATTGAAGGAAGTTCTGAGCATGGACCTGTACTGGAAGATCCACATCTCAGGGATGCCATCAGGAAGGGTGGCCTCCCTGGACGCTCTCACCCATCCTGTGACAGACAGGGAGGGGTGGCTGTTAGAGCTCACCCCAGGGGGCGCAGTGGGTCCTCTCAGATCCCTGGTCCTGCCCCTACCCAGTCTCTGAACAAAAGCCTTAGCACCTTGGGCTGATGCTCTTCTCTGTACACAGGGGCCCACTGTTCTTCTAGGGTCTGTCCTCTGATCTGGGGGCTGGATTCATCTAAGCTTCAGTTTCTCCGTCTGAGAAGCGGGCTGCACACAAACCCACACCACACAAGGCTGCTGTGATTGTTAAATTCCACCAAGCAGCTACAATGCACGTGGGAGCAACCAATAGTTTAATTTTTAGCCCCAGGGTTTTCACGACAGCCCAGGTAACTACTGTCCAGAGCATTCTTTATTCCTGATTTTATGGTCCTGAGGGCTAAAGGCGTTTATTTAGTAGACGAATGAATGGTTGCAGCAAATAGTTTTATTTAGATGCCCATATTTATTTCTGCATGGGTTACCCCGGCCATGTTCCTACAGGCTCGGTACCCACCCACAAACTCCGATTACTGAGAACATGCTGGGCGCCCCGGGGTTTGCGCAGCAGCAGGCGCGTCCTCATTCTCACCTCCAGGCAAGCAAAGTGGTGAGTGGGGCAAGACTTGACAAGCCCCAGATCAGCCTAGGGGCGCGGCGGGGGCTCAACGCGCAGGCTGTGGCTCTAACCCTCTAGGGCAAGCCCTCCACTTCAGGCTGGAGTACCGCCATTCTCCCCTCCAGCTCGAATACTTGTCCTCGGTCGGGGAGGGCTCCGCCACCTTTCTCCCACCCAGAGAACTCTCCGCTCCAGGCTTGTTATGGCGGCAGGGCATGTCCCAGGGCCGCCCCCTCCCAGCCTTAACCTCGCGGGAGACCCGGGCATGGCGTGGGAAGCGCGAGCGCGCAGCACTGCTGCACTAGCGATGTCCAGTCCAGCCTTGGCCGGCGCAGGGGTCCCGGCCCGCCTCCCGCTCACGTGACCCCTCCCACCCCCCCCCCGGCGCCGGCCACGCCCCCCGGCGCCGGCCACACCCCTCATGTGCCCCGGAGCCGCCCCCGCAGCCCCCGCCTCCACCACCTCGGCTGCCGCCGGGAGCTGCCCCAGCCGGGCGGGGCCGAGCCAACGCCGGGCGCGAGGTGAGCGCGGGCGCCCGGCCGGGAAGCCTGCCCTCTGCTGCACCCTCCCGGGCTCGGTCCTCCTGGCCTTGGCCCGTCACCCCGCCTCAGCTGGACCTCCAACCCCCTCTCCGCCCGCAGGGACCCCCGCCCGGGCACCCAGAGCGCACCCGGGCGCACTAGGCGCAACGCAGGTGGGCAGTGCCACCGCCAACCGCGACCAGACGCCGCTTCTGCTGGAGATCCTGACTTCGGTCCTCTGGCAGCTATTGGGCGAAAGTTCTCCGAGCTACTTCCGGGGACGAAGGCGCCACCTGTCCCGGGGCGCGACCCTTTCCCAGGACTTTTTTCTCCAGGTCAGTGTCGCGGGGGGAGCTGGGCTCTGTGCTCCCTGCGGGCGCGCGGGTCCTTGGGTTGGTGGGCTGTGTCTTTTAAAGTGCGATCTTGAGATGGGAGGCGAGGGTGACAGACGCCGAGGTTAAGGTGGACATTGACGAGTCTTGTCGCCAGAAGCCGGTAAGCGTTTTCCAAGGGTGGTAATCAATGGAGCCGGGTGGGAGTGGGTTCCCGTGGGCTTTGCCCGTGGAGGGCTGTCTCGCTCATGGGCTTGAACGTGGCAGGAACACAGCGGCTTGTTCCTGGAGGATTTAGCTTGCTCGATTTACTGCCTGGACCAGGCTTGCTTCCAGCACGGGGCAAGGATGTGACAATTGCCAAACAGCAGTTGTCCTGAATGCACCAGCGCAAATAGTTATGTTTTTTGGCGACACTGGGGTTTGAACTCAGGGCCTCACGCTTGCTAGGCAGGCGTTCTACTGCTTGAACCACTCCACCAGCCCTCTTTTTTTTGTGATGGGTTTTTTTCAAGATAGGGTCTCACAGACTATTGCCCGGACTGATCTTGAACCGTGATCCTCCTGATCTCTGTTTCCTGAGTTGCGCGGGAGCCACTGGTGCCTCACCCTGCTCGCAAACTTATTTTAAGTGTGCCTAAGTGTGACCGCTTTGAGAAGTTTGCTGTCTTTGTCTTAACAGTGTCACAGTCTTGGGCAGGTTACACCACAGGACTATGCCTTACTTTCCTCATCTGGAAAATGGGGGTGATAATAGTACAGGAAGTCCGCCTATTCTCGGACTTATTACCAGCGGTTTTGACCAAGCATGGACAAAAAAAAAAAACCCAAAAAAAACCTTCAAAAGCAAAAAATTTAAATTCCTGTACGCATCATGCAGCTGGTGGACTTGGAGAAGCCCTCACTCTGTCCCCTGTTTTCCTCAGTTGTGTTTCAATCGTCCAGTGATCTCCTGTTTCCCTTTCCTTAATTTTGGGAAAATCTGCCTCCCCAGAATGGTGCCCAGAAATCAAGCTAAAAGTGAATGTGTTTAATTGAAGTGGCCAAGTGACAATTTGAGATTTGTTGAAGGATGGCATGTCTTTAGCAGAAGTTGCGGGGCATTATGGGATAAGCGGGCCAAGCATCTAGGGTACAGCGCTGAACGCTGTGCATCCTGAGGTGCAGGCTTTTGCTCAGTGATGGTCTCCTTGGAACTATACGCCCATGGATTCCAAGGTTGTACTGTACAGACCTTAAAATTCCTAAGGTTAAAGTGCCTACAACAGTGGCTGGCACAAGGTCAGTCCTACATGTGTTAGTTGTTGTTGTTATTATTTGGGACATGTGACTAATAGCGTGTGTATACGCTCAGCTTGCCAGTGAGGTGGGCCTGCAGGCTCCTGCTCCTTCCCCTGATTGCATGGTAGCATGGGAGCATGGGGACACCCTTCAGACTGCAAAACTTGAGCTCTGCAGGAGCATGTCCCATGGTTAACCAGCCTTGTGTGAAGTGTGCCTCAGAAGTGGGATTAGGTGAGATGACTTTTGTCAAGGTTACTGTTGGGAAAAGGGGTCTTGGACCTTTTGGAAGCTGTGGGTGTGACTGGCTGTTTGCCTCTCATGGGTGGTGAGGGGATGGGGCTGATGAGGTTTCACTGGAATTCCTTCCAGCCTGGGGCCCCCTGGCAGGCTAACACCCTACAGTCTCTGAGTGTGGGAGTCTATTTAAGGGTCCAGTGCCTGATCTCCTCTGTCTCTCTCCCCATACTTTCATCTTTGGTTGATTGTCCCCTGCCTCAGTGCAGTCTCCCTGGGCTGCACCTGTTTAGTTTCTTCTAGAACTCCACAAGAAGTATTGAGCCCAGGGCCTTGGCAACTCCTGAAATTGGAGCACAGGTATATATTTTTCCAGAGGGTTCTCCTTTATCCTACTCCCCAAGAGGGTACAAAAATAGACTCTGGACTGCTGGTGGGAAGGGACAAGTTCCCCAGTCCCCCAGAGCAGGGCATGGTTTTAGGGAGTGGAGATGATGGAAAAGCCAGAGCTGCCTGGACTTGAGGGAATCTGATAAGAGGTCAATTGGGGAAGGAAGAAGGGGTTAGGGACTGTTAGCCAGTTGGGGGGAGTGTGGGACGGAAAGTCAAGTGCAGCAGCGTCAGTCAGAAGACTTCTCACGGCCTCTGCACTTGCTCTTCCCTTTTCTGAGCACAGTCTACTCACTTCTTCCCGTGCGTCCCTCACTTTTTAACCTTCAGCTCTGACGTCTCCTCAGTGGAGTAGCTTCCCTGACCACAGTGCAAGTGCAAAGCCGTCCCTCCCCTCAGTTTTAGTCCCGTTCTCCTGTGTTGTACTCAGGTAGCCTTCCCACGATGATCTGTTCGTGTATTTATTTCTGGCTTTGTGGTCTGCACCCACCCAGGAGAAGGTAGGGTCCAAGAAGGCAGGAGGGTTACGCTGGTTACCACTGCAGCCTGGCCCTGACACTCAGTAGATGCTCGATAAATGTCCCTGAGTGACAGAATGAAGGGACACCACAGGATGAAGTGGGGTGAGACTGGAGAGCTTTAAGAGTAGTGGGTACAGGGGACAGGCCAGTAGTCCAGGTGGAAAGTGGCTTCCCAGGTCACATCCCTCCGTACCAGTTGCCATCACCTCTGTGACATCTCTTCCTGGTTATTGCTTGAATTGGTGACAGGGGACTCACTGCCTCCAGACACAGCTGCTTCCATTGTTGGAAAGGTGTGGGGGACAGAGAATCAGACAGTCCCTGTACCCCCTCTGATGGGGACAAGAGTGGCCTCCAGTCTTCTGCGTGTCCCTGCTTCAGCCCTTCCAGTCTGTTGAACATCCCAGTCATCCTCCTTTCATCAGTATCTGTCACCCTAGACAGCTGTCTCTTCTTCTCCGTGAACACTATGTTCCTGAGCCCCTGGCCAGAACTCAGTATGCCAACTGAGCCATGTGTGACCAGATAACTGAAAAGGCCATTGCCAGACAGGTGTGGTGATGCATGTCTGTAATCCCAGCACTTGAGAGGCTGAAGTAGGAGGATTATAAATACAGTCTGGGCTATTTTGTGATACCCTGTCTCAAAAAAAAAAAAAAAATGAAAGAAAGAAAAAAAGAAGAGTTACTGCCCCAGTCTAGAAATCTTCCAGGCCAAGTTCTATACTGCTCAGGCCCCTGTAACTGCAGTGGGTGGGGGTGGGGATAGTTTTGTTTCACTTTTTTGTTCTTTTACTGAAGTATTCCTTAATCAATTCATTAATTGTAACCCTCACTATATTTTTCAGAAATTACTTTTTAGACTCATTTTCTTAATGTTTTATTCAGATATTTTGTGACATCACTTGGCATGTACAGGTTGAAATTCAAGTGAAAAATGCGATGTTTTTCTATGATACATTGTGTTAGCTCAAGTGCGGTCTCCTTTGGAGAGCTTTGGTGACAAGCTTTGCTTTTTCTTCACTTTGGTATAAACCGTTCATTCCCTTATGAAAATGAATTGGTACACATTTTTTTAAACAAACAAACAAAAAAGGAGGACCAGGAAAGAATATTTTCTTTTTTCTTGAGTCAGAGTCTCACTGTGTAGCCAGGCTGGTCTTGAACTCATGAGATCTTCTTTCCTCAGCCTTCTGAGTGCTGGGACTACAGGCATATACTGCCACACCCTGCCAAAGATTGTTTTTAGTTGAGGTCATATTTACACACGAGCCTTAGCCCTTAGCTCAGCTGATGACTTCATTCGTCTGAAGAACACTATGGAGTGTGGGAGTCAGTGGCAGAGCACTTGCCCAGCATGCACGAGGCCCTGGGTTCAATCCACGCCGGCCTCCCCTGGTGCTGACCTTACAGCGGTCAAGAACAGAGAGGGCAATTCTTCCCACCTTTTACCCGCTGGCAGAGATGGGCAGTGGACAACGAGACGTGGAATGTGATGCCTGGGAGAGTGCTTGTAATGACCATGACAGTGGGAGGGGGATCCAGAGTGCTGGCATGGAGGCAGAGCTGGCCCAGGTCAGGAAGGTCTGTCTGGGGAGGTGACATTCAAGCAGAAACCTCCCACGAGGTTGCGGCCATGTGGCTATCTGGGGAAAAACTGCCCATGCACATGGAGCCCAAGGTGATGCTTGAACTCCTGGGTGGCCGGTCGGCTCTTGAGGCCTGGATGTGGTGTGCCCCACCCAGGAGGGAGAGGGGGGAGTGAGACCATGGCGGGGAGGTCTCCTCCCCATCCCCAGGTCTGAGCAGGTGGCTGGGTTAGTACCAGTGCCTTGTGTGCTGTGACCATAGACTAGACAGTCTGGCCTCCTTTACAGAGGGTGGGGTCAGCGGCAGCCAGGCCAGGGCTTTTGCTGGAGCTACAACCTGCACACCTTAAGACCTGCCTCACCCACCTGCCCTGGCCTGGATGCCTTCATCTTTTGTGTCATTTGACTAGAACCACATGGAAGGAACGTAGTTGCTTAGCAGGGCTCCCATTAAGAAAAAAAAATCAAAAAAAAAAAAAAATCAAGAGATACCATTATACAGCCTTAGAGAACAGAAGATGCATGCTTCACACTCAGTCCCTCGACTGACTGACTGATGAATCAACTGATATTACTTAATATGGTGTAAGATTTCCAGAGGTTAAGAATATGAGAGCTTGTGCCACAGACTTGACCTTTCTGAGGCTTGGTTTCTTCACCTGTAACATTGTGGAAAAGGTAGGACAGGGAGATGCCTTGGAAAAAGTGACATCTAAGAAGACACAGAGGGGGATGGTTGCAAGTCATCCCTACCTAGTGTGGGTGAGGGTGAGGGATGGACGAAAGGGACAGCAGCATGTGCAAAGGCCCAGATAAAGATGATGGAGGATTCTCTCTCTCTCTCTCTCTCTCTCTCTCTGTGTGTGTGTGTGTGTGTGTGTGTGTAGCAGCCCTCTGGATATGCCAGTGCCCATTGACGTGAGCTCAGCTGTGCTGCTGGACTCTGTGCCTGCCTCCTCATACAGTTTCTGCAGCCATCTTGTGTC